CATTTCTGTTTTTTTTTTTTTTTTTAGACAGAGTCTCACTGTGTTGCCCGGGCTAGAGTGCGGTGGCATCAGCCTAGCTCACAGCAACCTCAAACTCCTGGGCTCAAGCGATCCTCCTGCCTCGGCCTCCTAGGTAGCTGGGACTACAGGCACATGTCACCATGCCCAGCTAATTTTTTCTATTTTTAGTTGTTTGGCTAATTTCTTTCTATTTATAGTAGAGACGAGGTCTTGCTGTTGCTCAGGCTGGTCTTGAACTCCTGAGCTCAAGCAATCCTCCCACCTCGGCCTCCCAGAGTGCTAGGATTACAGGCGTGAGCCACCGCACCCGGCCTAAAATACAATTTTTAAACCTTGTATTCTAGAATCAAATGTTAAAGAATCTTTAAGTCATGTTTCAAAACTTTTGTCTCATAATTATAACAATACAGGCTATTATTTAAATGCACTTGTCCACATTTTAAAAATAAAAGAAAGTATATGAACTTTTTCTTTTACACATTTTGATGGATTAGGTGGACTAGAATATAACTAGAGTACGTACGTAACAACCGGTATTTTTAAATTCAAGTAACCTATAATTTCCAAAGTGAGGGAAGAAGAGAAGAACATTAATTAAACAAAAAAAAAAAAAGAGAGAGAGAGAGAGAGAGAGAGAGAGAGAGAAGAGCTGGTTTTTGGCAACCATTAAATTATCTCTATAAAATGCTAATTCTCTTCCTTCTGCAAGGAGGGGGGGAAGTTTAGATGCAGAAAAACTCATCTGGACATAAGTATACAGAAAAGCACTTTGGGAGGCAGTGGCAGGAGGACTGCTTGAAGCCAGGAGTTCAAGACCACCGTTGCAATAGCAAGATCCCCTCTCTAAAAAAAGTAGAAAAATTAGCTGGGCATGGTGGTGCACACCTGTAGTCCCAGCTATTGGGAAGGCTGAGGCAGGAGGATTACTTTAGCCCAGGAATTTGAGGTTGCAGTGACCTATGATAATGCCACTGCACTCTAGCTGGGTGACAGAGCAAGATCCTGTCTTAAAAAAAAAAAAACAAAAACACAAACATGTCATTGCAATTGATTTAAAAATACTCAGGCTTTTTACAATATTTTAAATAAGCTTTTATTTTTGATATGATTTTAGATTTGGAATAAAGGTATAAGGATAGTACAGAGGTCCTGAATATTCCTCATTTATTTCCCCCTATTGTTATCATCTTTCATAACCATGGTATATTTGTCAAAATTAAGAAAGTAACAATGGTAAATTACTATTAACTAAACTTCAGCCTTTATTCAGATCTCAGTAGTTTTTTTCCACAAATATCCATTTTCTATTCCAGGATTGAGTTTAAGCAGCACACTACATTCAGCCATCAAGTCTCCTTAGTTTCCTCTGGTCTGTTACAGTATTTCAATCTTTCCTTGTTTTTCATGACCTTGACAGTTTTGAGGAATACTGATCAGGTATTTCATAGAATGTCCTTCAGGTTTATGTGATTTTTTTTTTGTTCATGTTTAGACTAGACTGGGTTATAGGGTTTTGGGACGAATACCACAGAGGTGAATTGCTCTTCTCATTTCATTATATTAGGAGGTATATGATATCAACATATCAACATGACTTATTATTGACTGATCACTTAGCCAAGATAGGTTTCTCCATTGTAAAGTTACTCTCCTCTCCACTTTCCATACTCTATTTTTTTTTGGAGACATGGTCTTGCCCTGTTGCCTAGGCTGGAGTGCAGTGGCACAATCATAGTTCACTGCAACCTAAAACTCTTTTTTTTTTTTTTTTTTTTTTTT